TCACTTTGACTGAAAGTCTGCTCTCCAATAAGAAAGAATTGTCTACAAAGAGACGGTTGAAAAAGGTACATAGCCCTTCACACATGCTTTCATGCAAACACACTATTTCTCTCTCCCTCTCCCTCTCTCTCTCTCTCTCTCTCTCTCTCTCTCTCTCTCTCTCTCTCTCTCTCTCTCTCTCTCTCTCACACACACACACACACTCACACATGCTCTCACACATGCTTTTGCTGTTTATTTAGCAACTGTGAAAGAAGAAAAGTAAACTAAAAGGGTTCTTTCTTATAGCTGTTAATGTCTATTATAATTACGTTTTAGAAGTCATACATATTAACAGTCTCCATAAACTCATACGATATTTTTTTCCAACTCTTTTTAGAAGCAAACCCTCTTATCTGAAAATGCAAGTGTGTCACTTGACATCTCACGGCAAATACGTGTGTTTCGCTCTGTCATCTCTGGCGGTCGGCTTCGCTGTGATGGGTGTGCCCCTGTTGGTGACCGGATGGAGGTCACAGAGGTCAACGGAGCCGACCTCTTCAGTGTGGGTGTGGCACAGACCACAAGGTGGCTTCAGCGCGACACCAGTTAGGCCAGGTCAATGAAATTGAATAGTCATCCCATATACAAAACATGATAATAATACACTATTACTTGTTCCATGGTTCCAGTATAGAAATATTATTTTTCATTCTCTCTAAACCTGTAAATTGCAATGGAAATTGTCTAAGGCGGTCACCTATTGTCAAGGAGAACTATTGTCAAGGAGAAGTCAGCCATCTTAGACGTCATACCCAGTGTCATTAAACTGGAAAATGCGAGGGTGGGAATGAGAAGTAGCCGTTTGTACTGGTGATTGTCTTGTACAGGTGGCCTTGGTTAGACTGTAAATTACAAAACAAGGTACTTGTTTTTAAGACCCACCCCCCTCCCTCTTCCACACATCTTTTACCAAAAACTCTCCACCGGCCTATTCCTTCTCTCTGCCTGTCACTGTCTCCTTGACCGTCTCTTCCCCCTCCCCCCTCTCTCTCTCTGTTTCTCGCTCGCTCTCTCTACCCCCCCTCTCTCTCTCTCTCTCTCTCTCTCTCTCTCTCTCTCTTTCTCGCTCTCTCTCTTATCGTCTACCTAAAGCCTGCCCCAGTGCCATTTCTTCCACTAAACAAATTCTAAAATGTAAATAACACGAACTGTCTCCATTTTTTGTATCTTCAGCAGTTTTTATTTTGTTGCAGTTTTAACAGATCTATGTCATTGCATCAGAAACTGCCTGAAAAAAAACCCCAACAACTACAACCGAACTTTCTTTCAAATCAGTACTTCAGATTTTTAAACCAATCTACAATTTCCTCAATACTAGTACTTTTTAACAATAATGTTGGCTTGACATTGTCTCACAGTTGCCTTAATTGTTCTTTTTCTGGACATGACTCCCTCTAAAGTCATTTCACTTCAGATCTTTGAAAAGACCCAACACCTAATTAAAGGTAAATTAAAGTTAACCTTGTAAATGGTGTTAAAAGAAAGACATCGTTGTACAGCAAAGTTTTGGGCACGAATGTGTGTGTGTGTGTGTGTGTGTGTGTGTGTGTGTGTGTGTGTGTGTGTGTGTGTGTGTGCGCGCAGGGGCGAAGGCTGACTTGTTTGACAGGGTAATCAAAGTGAAATGGGACCAGATAGGGCCTGGAGATATCACACTCACACAAGTCACAAGAATCTTACTGGCACTGGAGGCGGCAACTCTGAGTTGAGAATGAAAACAAATCCTGAATTCATGTTGTATGCTTGTTCAACCGCTAAAATAATCGGGAAAGTATTTCATTAAATATATATTCTAACTAACCTTAAATTTAACTTTAGATTTGAACACACGAACACCAAGGAAAGTAATGGCAACTTAGGAGAATAGTTTTATCCCCAGCCTATGATTTACTTACATGTACTTTAAATGAAACACTAGACCACGTCTGATATATGCAGTGGATAATAGTTGCCATCACCTACCCAATGATGATCATTCTGGAGGCGGGATATTGTGTCTAGGAGTGATAATTTTGGGGCAGATTGAGTCAATGTGAAGGAAAACTTTCATAAAGCAGATACTGTAAAATATTTGACTGCCTACATAATTGCTATTTGTGGGTAGATAACCCGATTGTTTTGGCTAAAAAAGAATTTGTTTGTGGGATTATAACTTCGATCCCCAAATTGACAACAGTTTTGATCCATTCAGTGACTGTCACCCAGATATACCCCCACTCTATTCTCCTGTGATCTACAGTTCCTGTAACATCTCTCTCTCTCTCTCTCTCTCTCTCTCTCTCTCTCTCTCTCTCTCTCTCTCTCTCTCCCTCTCCCCCCTCTCTCTCCCTCTCTTTGTTCTGTCTTCTCCAGAATAAAATATTTAGAATTCTTTGCTTATGCTATAAACACACCAGCATATCACAATTATACCAACCCCAAGTTCTATCGACGGATACATGCAAAGGTAGAAAGGGAG